AGGCAAACGTGAAGGATATAGCTATTCTGTGTGAAGAGGTGAGGTATTGTCAAAATCCATTTTTGCAGTTTATATATGCATGAAAATCCTTTAAGTTATGTTCGATGTATGAACTATGAGACTTTCAATGTTCTTTTAGTCTTAATATATGCTTTTTTTCCTCCACATTTCCAGTGAAGTTATACATACTTTACATAATATCCTCTTTATTTACTAATAACTCTCTTTTTCATTAACTGAATGTGCACGAGGTCATAATGTTGACTATAATTCCAAATCAATGAAACGTGGCAAGCTTCTAATCAACAGTACAAGTGTGTTGTACACAAAAATCAGATGTGTTACTAAAGATCTTATTCTAAAGTCATACACACTTTGACCCCCACCCATGCATATGGTTATTAGAGAAATTGCCTTTTGACTTCAACACACTATTTTGGTAGTTTACATTTCTTTTTTATAGCTAAATCAGTCAAAGAGGTAAGCTTTCAGTAAAATGTACAAGTCTATAATAACAAAAGAAAAAACCACAGTAAATGGAACACACTGTCAGAACTCTGATATCAGATGCACGATTGACAGAGTTCTGACAGTTTGTTCCATTAGTGTTTTTTTCACTAATGTACAAGTCTGTTGTACGCAAAAAAATCAATAAGTTACAAAGGTATTTGTACTCAAGATGTTTGTAAATTGATGTCAGTCTGACTTAGACATTGACAAGATGGAGTGCATGTTCATGTGATGAATAAAAATACTTTTGTCCATCGTACAGTTTGCAAATGACATTTGCACAACTTCTAGGACTTCCAAAATGCAAAATATCTACAGGTTTTTTTTTCAATATCTCTGTACACTGTATCTAATATTTACTCTTCTCTACCATTAACAGTCCCTAAATCAGCAATGTAGGGTAAAATGAATAGTTGATCATTCTGATATCAAATTAATACCATGTTGAATGACATTCTGTAAAAGGCCATGACTTTTGCACTTTGACCTCACCCATGTACATATAGTTAACCAGGTTCTCTTAGATTTGTAAATAATAATGTAGCCAACACCTATTTACACACATATTAGAATTCCTATATGTATTATTCTATTGTTTACCAGCTGTTATGTTGTGATGCCTATGATTATTAAATTATAGAATTACAATTTTAATCCTTTGATTACCCAGTTTTTGCATAAAGTGACATTTTTTACTAACATCAATATAAAAATTAATCATTATGTTACTTTTATAGGTCTTAGATAAATCATTTAAAACACATGTACATAAATTACATTGATTTTACATATCTGATTGATATATCAGTTTTTCATAAGTTAGTGGACAGCAGAAAAAAAGTCAATATGACTGAAAGATTTAAGCTGAGATAATGCACTGAGTAATGGTTCAATGTAACAAACTATTTAATTACAATTGATGGCTAAATTGCATTCATAATTTTCATATACTTTTTGATGGGATTGGTACTACACTATGTATAGGAAAGGACTGTCAAGCATGTCCTTTAACTTCCAAGCTCTTGTTCTTTTTCCTTCTATGCATGCAGAGAGAGAGAGAGAGAGAGAGAGAGTCAGAGAAGATATATGCATGTGCATACATTTCTCAACCATATCCTCAAACTAGTGTGAAATGGAATAAACAGAAAGTTGAAATTCCAGATGTTGAGTTTTCTCTATAAAAATAATTAACAACGTCATACAATACAGAAGTTTTATTAATGCTTGAAAATAAAGTGAAATGTGCCCTGTGAAAAACCTTGCTTCTTTGGCAATACCTCTAACATACATGACCATTTAATCTGTCTACTCTATGAAAAATGATTGAACAAAATACAGCACTGATAAAAATAAAGCTAGTTCATTTTATATCAAATACAATGATGACACATAAAAGTTTATTAAATTCCTAAGTGATACCTAATGCTAGATTTTCACAATAAAAGTCAAACTGATAAGCATGTAACTTCTTCTAACTCCCTTAATGCATTACATATATATACAAGTGAATAAGTTTCTCTAGTACATCTTTACTGTACTATTGAGTACGTTATTTAATAATTTTGAAGCCTTTGATGCAGTTTCTTTGAAAAATGATGCTTCAATTCCAGAAAACACATTTGTCCTAGCTCTACACAAATTGCCAAAGTGACTTCTGTCTACAAAAGTAATGCATTAAGGGAGTTTGGGAAGTTACATGCTTATCAGTTTTATTTTTGTTATTGGTAAAGTTGTGAAAATCTAGCATTAGATATCACTTAAGAATTCAATAAATCCAGAATATTTTTCAAGACTTGCTTAAGTTTCACCTTTTATAAATGAAGCATTACTGAATATTGCATTTTCTTTAATAACTAGTAAGATGCTTCAAAAAAAAGCGGTTGATACAAAGTTAAATTCTGATTTTATTGATAAAAACAAACTAGAATTCAATGACTGACAGCTAAGAATAGCATGTTAGTTTTGCTAATTTGCATTCTGATTTAAGTGTGATCAACAGTTAGTAAAGTGTGGTTGACATATTGTTATAAATTATTCTTTATTTTCACTCTCCAAGTCATTAGTATTCCTAATGTAGTCTTCTTCTGTTCAAACTGTGGTTACCTGACCCACTCATGGAAGAGTAACACTAACTTACTGGTTTACCAGTTCTTCTGAATGATGAGTAAAGTTAATTCAAGTAAAAATAATTATATATATATAATTGGTGTTAAATAAATAATATTGCATCATTAATCCTTACCATAACTCTGCTTTGTAAATGACTTCTACCAAATAGATAAAAAATTACACTTCAGCAACTTAACCTAGTTCACACCATGATAGTTGTTCATGCAATTTCATGATATAAATAGTATATCAACCACTACTGTATTTGTCACATCTCTAGCTGACCTGATAAGCTTTACTGTTGAATGAAAGATCTCACTGGCAATGGATATGGCAGATATAATGTGGTTGAAATTTGTTATACATTCTCCTTTATTTTTCCTCTTAAGTTCTAAGAATAAGTGGTAAATGTGGGCATCACATCAAGGGTACTTAGTTAAAACTATAGCCTTTATGCATGATCTCTCACTGGATTTTCTTTTTCATTGAAAAATCATTATACACTGGCCAAACTTGTGTCATATTATTAGTTAAGGTAGCTAGTAATATGACTTAATGACACAAGTATACATTACCGTTCTCACACTAACTCTCAAAGCTTAGTTTACTGAATATGAATAGTTCACAAATAGCTTAAAAATAAATGGAAACAAATGAAATACTTACCAAACTTAACATGGATGGTTACCTTTTAAACATAAAACTCAACTTAAACCATAAAAAGATAACATTAGTGGTAATGTTCTCCTTTTATAATTAGTGCACATTTCCAGCAGGAATGTTTAGGCTAATAAGTGTTGCCTTGCTATGCAAGTTGTAACATGTATAGAAATAGTTAAAACAGTACAAGTAATTTATAAAAGGTTTCTTTTTTTGTTTCAAAAGTCTACATATGTGCACTTCAAGTTTACAGACACTTTGAAATAGCTTAAATGTGCGAGCATATCAGTGCCGTGGAGAAATAATCTAGGTGTTGTAAAATGTTGAGAATACCTGAAGTGTTAGCCTAACAAATAGGCAGTGAGGTCTTACCTTTAACGTATGGATTTGAAATTGACTATTGGTCAATTTTTCTAATCCTGCAAAATTGTATGACACACCCTTTCATATTGAAACTGACAGCAAATTATATGTATAGTCATAATATTTAATTTTAATCACCACATGGAATTATAAATGAAAACTGTAATAACAGTAACAAATGGCATAATAAAAATCTTAAAACTGTTTGATAGATACCAAAATATCTATCATTATACATATGATTTGCTGACACCATGGGTTGTGCATACTTGTTAAGTAAGTGAAGCTTCCAACTGATAACTTTACAGTTTAAGTGATAAAACAGATTGGGAGTAGTCAAAATGTTAAAAATGTGCTATAACTGTTAAACAACTTAAGTGTTAAACAGAGTTCAGAAATGGTAACTAATCAATTACTGAGGTGTATATACACTTACAGCACTTAATATTACAGAAATTAATTATTTTCGACTGAATTTATTTTCCTATTGATTATCATATCATTATAATTTATATTTAATCTTGTATTACAGTGTTTAGTAATCAATATTACTACTAGCAGCATATCCTTGTGGTGATGTCTTACATTTTATATTCAAGTTACACTTAGAGTCAAAGACACAACACATGATCATGATTCATGGGGAGTATGCTGGGACAAATATGGCACTAAAAATTAAAATTATAACATTAAGAAACAAAATGAAATTCAACTAAAGGCAGTGTTAGAGTTATTGAAGAAACAATATGAAATTCAACTAAAGGCAGTGTTAGAGTTATTGAAGAAACAACATGAAATTCAAATAAAGGTAGTGTTAGAGTTATTGAAGAAACAATATGAAATTCAAATAAAGGCAGTGTTAGAGTTATTGTTATCTTTGATATTATTATTAAACTTTCATTACCAGTATGACTTATGTCTGTGCAATTTTCTGTGTAACTAATAGTAGTACTAATATTATATTTATAGTAATAAATAATATTCAGCACAGTACTAACATTGTGTAAGTAACTAACTATAACAGTAAAAGTAACTTAGCTTTAATCTCACCTAGTATTACTGTAGTCCTAGCAATACAGTAACACGAACAATAGCATTAATAGTATAGTACTACTACTACTAGCATTACATGTATTATTTATTATTAATACTATATAGTATTACTACTATATTATTGAGTATTAGTAATTTTAATAATAATATTATTATTAAGCAAATGAAATAGCACGAACACATGTAACTATAACAATGAATCATATAACTAAGAAATATATTATTAATAAAATTACTAAACAAAATTTTACCAACAGAATTATACACACTTCTCTTTTAGAAACATATAAAATTAATATTTCTACCTTTCAATGCCCTTCGAATTTCCACAGAATTAATCGATTTTCCCATTGACGCCATTTTACCCGCTCTTTCAGGCACACGTGGGTTCTAAAATGCCCTCTAAGGGTAAAATTATTCACAAAATACATGTTAGTTATTTAAGCAATGCAATTTTCATTTATTAAATACAAAATAATTCCAGCTTAAAAAAATAATTATTTGATAAAAACAAGTTTAGGATCACAATTTTAATGTTTAAAATGTTATTTGTTTTCAAATAGATAGTTTAATTGGTATCATCAAAATCCTATTTAATAGACTTATTTAGTTATGTATTATGTACTTTGAGAGTTTCTTTAGAGATAATGATTCTTTCATCAATGGTAACATTTTTATAAAAATTTACACGTTCATTTTGCTCTATCGGGATTTATTTCTTCGTATTCTAAACACATCAGTTTATAATATAAATTATTTGCCAATGTGACGTTTTGTTTTTGGGATACTATTCCCAAACATTGAAACCCCCAGTAAAACAGCAGTAAGTCTTCGGACTTATAATAATAAAAACCAGGCTTCAATACCCATGGTGGGCAAGGCACAGATAGCCTATTGTATATCTTTGGGCTTAATTACAAATAAAAAATTAAAAACCTATGTTTCGAGAATTTTTTACTATTATTTTTTACAGTGATTTTTAACATTTGGACTACTTATCCACAGAATGATTTTCGCTGGGAACGCGGAGGACAGGTTCCCTGCAATTTTTAAGGGTAGAAAGTATTTTTTAATAGAATACCGTAATGTATATACCAGCTACAAAAACTGTTTCCACGACTTTTGAAACCAATTTACGCCACTGTATTTATGCACGTGTAAAAGAAGCTCCAAAACAATGCTTATTACAAAGATTATTTTCTCATGAAAATGTTACTCAAAAGAAAAACACAACGACTTGATTTTTTTCAATCATTTTTTACCGGAAAAAATTTAATCAATGTTTATTTACATTGAGTAGTGTCCAGCTGTAGTGAAGTTTTGTTTTATATATATTAATAATTAAACATGTTTTTATGTTATCTGCTAAATTCTATTAACACTTTTTAACAGTTAGAAACGATCTGAACATTGAAAATAAATAAAATATGTTTTTAAAAATTACTCTGAATTTATATTCATTATTTTAAACAAGTAGTGTATAATAAGTGAGAGCCAGTTATTATGCGTAAGCGAGCTATTTAATTGTTCACGACAAACGGTAGTGGAACTAAAATCGATAGGAAGAATTGTCCGTCTGGAGCTAGCAGCAACTTGTCGGAAGATAGCGCTGAACTCAGCCAAAACATATACTGTGAGCCTCTTGGTGTCAGTGACAAGCTTTAGTGACTCGAGCATTGTCGTAGCGTACGTCGTTGTTCCACAAGATGAAGCTTACACAGAACATCACTGGTTTTACTAGCTGCGTATTCTGACAATGAGGTTTACTTGTAAACGGAAGACCGATAGTAGTTTGCCATTATGTATTGGAAAAATCACAAAACCGACACAGTTTGTGAAAATAACCAGTATATTTTGTTCTAGTTATAATACTTACCAATATAACATCTCAGGTAAGAATATAATTTTGCTTATAGAAATTTAAGTAAAAAGTATAATATTGTAAAAATATAAACGAAAGGTTTATCAAGAGTTTTATTTTCTAACAGCAAGGAATTACTTTCAGTAACCTCGAAGTTTTGATACGAGATGTTAAGAGTGTAACCTTTAGCATGTTGTTATCAGATCGCTTAGAAATCGATTTTCGTCAGCAGTTCTCAAGGTTACTTACTGCCGTGGGTAAACATATAGTGGAACGAAACGAAAATATTTAATATTGACTCGACTCTTTAGTGCAGAGAAAGTTAATGTAAGTTCGTTAGTAGTTTCAAAAGTAATCTATCTAGGTATTTTAATTTACTATCTGTATAATTTAAAACTGATATTAAGATGTTTTTTTATAACTTTAATTCACTGGAAAAGTTATTTATCTTGCAATACTCTGCAGGTTCTCCGTGAAGCCACTTTTGCAAGTACCTATATATTACTCTCTGTATCATTTAACATAGTTGTGGTTCCAGTATTTTGAAATGATTTCCGTATATTATATCAACTCCGAGTTATATTTTACAGAATTTTACGCATCTGTTAAATTTATAATAAAATTTTCTTTGTTAAAATCCACGGCCTTAGTAAAATTCAAACTGTAATAATATGGTTAACATACAGAAACGTTCTTAATGAACGTGGAAATTCTCAAGATTGCTCTTTTTTGAACAAATATTAAGCTTACAAGTATTTCCAGGTATAAAATACTTATACTTTCATAATAAAATGAAATATATTGTATGTATGTATATATATATATATGTGTGTTAAAATAAAAGTGGTGTCCATAAAAAATTGGAATTCAACTTTAGAAAGTTTAGCTTTATTTAACCTATTAATGTTGTAACTTTTTTATGTTTTACCAGGAGAATGCTACACGTAAACATGGATCATTCACAAACTGAAAGTGATGCGACACCTAGCGGAAAGAGAAATCCTTTTGATTTCTTTTCTAACATTTTTAGGTAAAGTCATGTGTTATGTTCAGAAAAATAAATATAATCTAACATAAGTTTTTAGAAATAGGGAATAAATAAACGATTTTTTAAATACTCGAATATTTTTTAGTTTAAAGTAGCTATTTAGTCAACATGTAAAAAAAAAAGCAACGACAACAAATTCTTATGAATGCTAGATATATATCTTCATGGGGAGAGGTTGATATTAGAACATCAAGAGGTGTTTTTAAGTTTCTGAATGAAGATTAGCTAGCATACCCTTAAAATATTTAGTAATAATAGGTGGATATAGACTGTTTTATCAAAATTATTGGGACATAACCCCATGAAAATGAGGATGCCAAATTTCTCCACTATACCTCCATTTTTGTAACAAGTGGTTATTATTCACAGCTTGGGATCTGTATTTATCACTTACCAACAGTCGTTAGTATACGTTTGGTAAATGTAACAAGATTTCAGGGTCTGTCCTTTCTGTCCCTCAGGCAACATTATTAAAGTCTTAGAACGACTACACCAAATTCTGAAAGTGCGTGTCTCAAGTTACTGTTGATCCTAGAGTGTTATACGATATTCTGCATTACTAAGATGAAAAAGGTTTTCCATGTAAAATTCCTTGAACGCAAGTAGTGGGGCATTGTCCAGATTGTCACAGTGCGTTAAGATATCCATGTCTCCCTAAGTCATTTCCATTAAGTTCAACCAAACTAAATCAGGACACTCATAATACTACTTTTCACAGTTGGAATAACACAGTCACCTCCAAAGCGTTCTTTAGGTTGTCGTCAAGTCCTATCTTGTCCATTCAAAACAAATAATGAGTAGAGGTATTCATTGCTCCATGTGATGTTTTTCTTCATAGTTATTTACCTCAGTTTTAAACATCAAGGTAAGATGAGACCTATGTCTTGGATTTACGGCTGTGATGAGTAGCTTATAGGCTGTAGACCCTCCATCAAATCCACCAGCATGAAGCTCCTGGATATAATGCATATGATCATCTGTAATTTTAATGTTTTATTCAAATTATAGATATGGTTTAATGCCAAATGGGAATGTTTCATAACACTTTCACAGTGATTAATTTTGGGTAGTTGAGTTGATAATGCCCAATGGTTTTCATTACGAATATAGGGACTGAAATGCTTTGGACACTCATATCACAATTATTGTATTCAATGAGTATTCTATTTCGAACGAAACAAGCTCATTTTCTGTTTCTCATGATATGTTTCTCAAACTGGCTGTCTGTGACTGACTCTTATAAATGCTACATGGTTTTTACATGCAAATTCAGTTGGGATTAACACCTTTCTATCTGGATGTGTGCTTTTTCTTTCAATAATTTTGGTAGTATACTCGATATAAATTGTAAAAATTACAACAAATATGATATATAGATATTGTTAGTACAATACTTTTGGTAGTATACTTGATATAGATTGTAAAAAATACAACAAATATGATATATAGATATTGTTAGTACAATACTTTTGGTAGTATACTCGATACAGACTGTAAAAATTACAACAAATATGATATATAGATATTGTTATTGCAATAATTTTGGTAGTATACTCGATATAGATTGTAAAAAATACAACAAATATGATATATAGATATTGTTAGTACAATACTTTTGGTAGTATACTCGATACAGACTGCAAAAATTACAACAGATATGATATATATAGATATTGTCATTACAATAATTTTGAAAAAAAAAGATAGCTAGTAACTGTCGCTTCAATGTTTTTAGTTGAATTTACTAAAAAGTCACAGTGAAGACTACTTGTTATTTTAAGTGTACTGATAGATATGTCTTTGAAATAGTGCATAATAATTCTAGTTTCAGTGATACTTGTAGAAACTTATGGTCCGAAAACTGTCATTTTAGTGGTTTTCAGAGAAGTGAAGAAAGATCAAGATCAATACAATACTATTTGTTTGTTTAGTAATTTGGAAAGGCACTTATAGAAAGGTCTACATTATATCAACAAGAATAACTGTCGTTTCAGCGGCATTTTTTTGTAAAAATCATTGTCACAGCAAATAGTAACTGTCGTTTTATTCATACCTAGATATATAAATATCTAACGTTCAGTGTCATAATAAAAAGGAAATCTCACTTCAATAACACTTTTTGAAGTTCCACGAATCAACGAAAACTAACTATAGCTTCAGTGATTATCAATGGTAATTAGAGAAAGATCAAGGCACTGTAAACGACTAGCAATCATGACAATAATTTCCAATGTTTTTTTTACGAAAGGGTCATTATCGCTGTAACAACTAAAACCACTCATGTCAATAATTTTTAAGTAAAAGTTAATATTAATGTGATGGCTTACTGTAGTTTCAAGGGTTTTAAGAGTTTTTTTTTGAAAGATGTATATCATTATAAGTACTGGCCTCATTTAAAATAACTTCCATTTCACTTGTGTATTAGTGCGAATGTGATGACTATCTGTGGTTTTTCAAATTTTTTAATCATACCGATAAAAAGGTGAAGAAGACAGAGAAGAATAACTTCTGCTTTCGTGATTTCAATAATACTTGTGGAAAGGTTAATGTCATAAATAATGTTGTATTTTCAGTAATTTTAAATGGGATCGTATACAAATATCAATATAACAGTGAAGATTAACTAACATTTCGCAAGTTTTCAATGGGTTTTTAGGAAATTCAGTGAGGCTAGAACTCATAGTGAAAGTTACACTGTAGTGCAAGTGTCTTTTCAATAATATTCTTGGTCGTGTTTAGCCTACTGATCAGCATTCGGGCTACGCGAACGGTCCAGGGTTCGAATACACTCAACACTTTCATTTGTGGGCGCGTTTTTAAATGGTAGTCAGTCACTTTATTCAATTTCAAGAGCCAGACATAGCCTTCGTGGCGGAGGATGCTGCTGGCTTTCTGCCTCTCCAATCACTAATTCAAAACTATAAACGACTATATCTGATCCTTAGGAGTCTTTGATCTGGTTCAGGTTGAAAGTTTAAATTCCAATTAATAGTTTTGAATAGGGCTTTCGATAATGTTAAGGTTTTCATAACAACAAACTGCTGTTGTAACAAAGGGTTCCATGAAAAGTCAGAATCATTGCAAAGAGAAACATAGGGTTTTCAAAGATGACATATATGTAAAATAATTCTAGGTGTTTAGTTTTGGAGCTCCAAGTCAGTAACTGCTTTCGAAGACATGAGAGTATAGGTTCCAATTTTGTAATTATTTGTTTGCGTTTATTAATTAAGCGTTATGGATACACCATCTATTTTATGTAAGTAATGGAAGATTCAAAAATGACGCAAAACTTTTTCATGAGATCATATTTTTCTGTTGTAATAGAACTAAACTCTCCATAATGAAAAGAGAGTTCTTTACATTTTTGATTTTGATGATCTTATATAAACAAAAGACATAAAAATGTTCTATTAACTTTTAAACTTTAAACAGTCAAGTAATTGGTGTTCAGTATACTTGCATATTGTGTGATGTAAACTAATGTAACTCTTTTTCGTCAGCACCAACAGAAAAAAATATCCCATGAATTTGTTAAAAGCATGCAAGACACGTACATAACAAATCACAAACTTCCTCGTTTGATCCCTGCCTTCCAGATCTATGTAAGTATTTCGCAGATTAAATCCAGAGCAGATATGTTTTATTTGTTTCAACGACTTTCGTGGCTTATTTTTAAGAGCTGATAAATCGATGAAAGTTCACTTGGAGGCTGTAAAAACTGGACGAACAGAGACAAGAAGATGATATAGCGTTGCAACACAGCAATGAGTTGTAGACGTGATTGAGACTACATGTGTCGACATAACTTGTGCGTGTCTCGAAGTTAAGAAGGTTATTCAACCCAGTTTTTATGCTTTTCATAGTTTCATACTTGCCATTTTAAACTGAACCTATACTTCCTTACTCGTCAATTGAAACTGTGTTTACACTGAAGTTATTTTTGCTTTTTTCTCTGAATCAGAATATTGATATATTCGAAAAGTAAGTTTCAATTGAACCTTTACCCATACTAGAGTTTATCTTTTTTTTAAGGATTTTATTTTTGTGTTGTATATTTATCACCTTAAAGTAAACCTATAATTACTGATTTTTGTGTCTACGTATGAGTTTAAGTAAAACCTGTACTTATTGTTTTTGCGTATCATCTTAAAGTAAACCTATATTTATTATTCTTATATTTCATATAAAAATAGTATGACTATAGTAAGACTCTACTTACTATTCTTATATTCTATAAATGCCATCTTTAAAGTAAACCTATACTTACACTAACATATCGATTCTATAAAGAAGGTTGATGTGTTCCATAATCGTTATTTCAAACTGACTTGACAGTATTTATTCTATTTCAGAAGATTGGGTCAATTATTGTTTTACTTACCTTGTTTAAATTAACTACTTGATACTATTAATTATATGAATATTTACCCTTAGCATATGTTAAGGTGCAAAGTACTAGCTTTCACAGAGCGTGCACTGGTTATTTATGCATATATATACCTATGTATTTAATCTTGTTTTAAAATATTATTTATCATATCAATCGTTCGATAACTTTTATTGTTTTTGTCTGATTCATTTATAACATTTTACAACTGCTTACTTGAAACAGTGAAAAAAGACCAATAGCAGTACTTAAGAAATTATTATTTGTCCTATTTCTTAGCTTAGAGTTATTATTTTGTTTCATGATATTAGGTTAAGTTTCAAATGTGTTTGTCTATTAATTAAGATATGTTCAAGGCTAAACACTTTGAGAATATTAAAGCAAGGTTGGTATAATTAGATCAGTTTAGATTATAATAAGTTGGTTTTGTAGAATTCTGTTATGGTTAAGATGCTCTTTTTCTGATATATATAGCAGCTATATTTTACATCACATGTTTTTTTTTTTAGATTTAAAATTAATCGTTCGTTTTTATTTCTTATTAGATTGTTTTGTGTCAGAATGTTTAAATAAACTCATACATATTGTCACGACAGCGGAAGTCACGTGACGCTGCTGGCGCGTGC